AGAAAAAAAAAAAAAAAAAAAAAAAAAAATTGGGGGCACCGCTTTTTGGCGCCCCCAAATCTTGACGCCCTAGTTCGCCTTAATGGTAGCACCGGCCCTGCCTGCCACCCATGTCACTAGCATACAGAGTCAGTTTTTCTTTAACCAAAAATAAATAAATATATAGATATATATTACATTGGCACTGCATCAATAAAGTATTGATACCTTTAGCTTTGCTGTCCACCTCGTCTCCTGGCAAACCCAACCTTTTCTTCCCAAAATTGGGTCCCAATGGTTTTAAGGTTGCCCTCTGTGATTTCTCACTCCGCTTGCTAACAAACAGCATGGATGAGGACAATGATTCAGAAGATGAAGGGACCGTATACTCTGCCAATGTGTCAATGCTGCTTCCTGTTAGCCAGTTAAAAGAGCTTCTCCCATCTGTAAAAAGCAGAAAAATAAAATATCAGCATGTGACTTCATTTAAGTAAAAACATGCACAAAATTTCCTTCCAAAAAGGGCACAGTTCCCATATTTATAATCCAATTATGGGGGGAAATCAGCATTCACATCCTGGTTCCCATCAGTACCCAGTCCAGGCAAGCTAATGATCCAACCAGTGGACCAAATTTACTGATGAATCCTGGTCACGTGCCACTTGAAGTATGTTGCTCATAAGCAAAGAAGAAGAGTCCAATTATTATCTAATGAATGCTGCAGTTTTGTGCCTAAATAGATCAATAGGAAGTAAAATGTTCAGCTGGGAGGCCAATCTTTTTAATTGGACATGAGGCTTAAAAAACAAGACCAAAGGAAACTAAGTGTGCAGGGCTTACTATTTTGGAATTGGAACAAATAAGTAACATACTTCAATTAACAGCTGGCCAGAGCGTTTAGATGTTTTCATAAAAATGATATACTAAGTATATACTTATACCTTTGCTTTAAAAAAAAAAAAAAAAAAAAAAGCCTACACAAAAGGAATAAGGAAAGAAGAATTATTCCTTTGGGGAACAGGAGAGTTTCAGAACATGCTGATCTGTACTTACTGACATTCTGTGTAGGTGTAAATTCGTACTGCTGTTGGGTAGCCCTCACTTGACCACCTAGTGACCCCGGAGTTGAAAGGGATCCTTCTTGTGACCGATTCCTCTTGGCACTTTGGGTAGCTTGGGTCTCCACAAACATTGGTGTGAGAACAGTACTTCGGTAACGCCAGTTAGAATCAATAGCGAAGTCCTAAGCATGCAAAAAGGTCTTAATAAGAGCACAGGGAACTGAAACTTTTTTCCACCATTGAGATAAAATGACTAGTATGTAACATATGCTGACTGGTCTCCTAAACATACAGAACCATGTGACGACTGCATGATCCTTGTTCAAATACGAAGCAGTCATTTAGTATCAATTCTGCTATAACAACACTTGAACCCCCAACTTTATTCTTTTTTTATTCAGTTATCTTTCCAAGCTATAGGTGCCCTTTTTATTTATTTAATTAGCACACAACACATAGCCTAACAAAAGGATCTCTGACAATCAGCATACATCATATGTAATTACCACTTCAGTTATAAGTAAGTTCTTACCTTCACTTTTTTAAAATAAAAGTTCACGTTAAAAATGTGAAGTTATCCACCCAAAATAAATATCAAACGCCTAAGAATTTGAATAACCCATGACTGCCTCAGCTGTTACTGACGTAGCACGCAGCACACGTTCAACAGTCTCCTTCATTACTTCAGCTCTATTTAACTCTTAAGGTGATTGCTACATTGATAACTGGACACTGCTGCATAGTTCTATAGCATTACACAAATATTACAATTCACCTGAAATCTGCATTCAGAAAGTGGATGCTCAAACATTTTTCTGGAATAATCTGGGCTCTTGCTGGTCATTTCAAGCAGAAAATTCGTTGCTAAACTCAAATATTGGGTTTCTATCTTGGTAGAGTATAAGGAATTTAATAAAGCCAACATACGATCGAGGGTATTTGTAGGCAACCTAGTTTCATCACTCCAAAAATTTCTAACAATCAATCTGTAAAGAGAGGACAAACATACTTGAACACCTACAAATGGGACACTATAACCTTACACAACGCTTGGCTCAAAAACTTCAATTTTTTTTAAACTAGTGAATAGCAAAAATATACAAGGAGGATTAGGACTATATATCCACTAATTTCTTTACCCCAACAATTCCACACTGGTTTATGTTAATCATCTCATTTCCCACTCTCCACCCATCCAATCTGTATTTCATCTAAATGGTATTAAAAACCTTACTAAGGTCACAAGGATTTTTATACTTCATAAATTTGCATTTTACTCATGATTATGAAATCATTTCCATGCAAACAAAAGAGAGATTGTGGGCACAGATATATAAACACCTTTTTTCCTATTGTGCTTCATTATAAAAGTTAATAATGAAACTATCTTCCAAAACTGGACCTAATTTCTTACATCTGTTTATAGATCAAAACTTTAGGTGTTGTCATAGGGACTGTGTTATATTAACAGAGGATTAAGTCTAATATAAACTGAAGAGACTTACTGATTTAGGGCTCTCACTGACTTAATAGGCTTTGAACCAATCCCTCAACATTTTTTCAAATTCTCATTATTTCAGCTAAATGTAATGCAAGAGAATAGGATACACACACTTCTTAAAATATTAATCTTTTCTTAATTTTATACAGTAGAACTCTGTTTATCCAACCCTCCCTTAACCAGCTCTCTATATTTACCTAACAACCAGGACTTCAGGGCCAGAAGCAGGTGATCTCTCCTGGGGCCACCAGATGGCGCTGCAGCATATTTTCCCATTGTCCAGTTTTATCCAGAGTTTTGATTATCTGATCTGGCCCCAATCCCAATTAAATCGGATAAACAGGGTTCTACTGTACTTTAAAAAGTTTATAATATTGTCTTTACTTGCCAAATTGATCACTGTTAGTGACATTGCATCACCAGGTAAGACCAGAAGCAGCCAAAGCTGGGACTGCTGCACTGGGGTTGGGATAAAATGTAGCCCAGGCAGAGCCATCTCTCCCCCCCAGCATGCCCCGGTCTCAGAAATGTCCAGTGGAGACCCTGCCCAGTCAGGGGGCACTAGAACCCAGATGGTGCCTCTCTGCCTTTCCACCATGTGCCTTTGGGAGAGAACTGCAGAGAGAAGCCAGCCAGAGGCTCCACCTGGCAGGAGCAGAAGCAGCAGCAGCCAAAGCAGAGACTTCTGGACATTCCAGTCAAAACTGCAGAGTGTTCTCAAACTTTTTCTGCCCTGTAATGATTTTCTCTAGCCCTCTCCCTGCCCCTACATCCTCACAGCCTCTTCACCTCAGCTTCACTCCATACCTGCCCATCATACTCTCATTTCCCCTGCCCTGTCCCCCTCACCTCCCTTTCCTTTTCTTTCCATTTAGCATATCCCCTCCTAGTTTAACCCACACTCCCCAAAAATAATTGTGGAACTAACATGACTTTTGCCACTATCACATGTGTTCTACCCCTTCCCCCACCTCGTGTCTCTCTCTTGTCTATTTAGACCGTAAGCTCTTCAGGGCAGGGACCATCTCCTACTTTGTGTTTGTACAGTTTGCACAATGGGGCCTTATGCTTGATTGGCCCTTAGGCACTACCATAATAAGCATGATTAATAGCATGCCCTAGCCTCTTCCTGAAACGTAACCGGAAACTTTGAAATAGGGAAAGCTAGGTCTTCCAATTAAGGAAAAACAAGATCACCACCACCAGAAACAAACGTGACATTTTTGAGCGAGGTGTCACTATTGCATTTACTACTTAACATATCTTAATAGCCTTAAAACCCCCTAAAAAAAAAAAAAAAGTCTTGAATACGGTTTTGTTTTGTAAGACTTTAGCATCTCAGCTGATCCATCACAACACTCAGTGTGTCGACTCACTGTAGTCCGGAGTTTTCATCCATCAGTCCCTGAAGCAGCATTTCTTTTGCTAGTTTGAACACTTCCTGAGATTCCTCCTCTGCTTGGCTTTCTGGATCCCTGATATAAAATGAAAAAGAAAGTCTTATAGATTTCTCTCTCATGCAACTTGCAACAAAAGGAACAAACAGGGGCAAAATAAACCTGATAGCAGTGCACTTGGCTCATACATGCTATGTTTTCACTGTCCCAAAATAATGATGGTTTGCTGTTTGTTTTAAAGAGAGATAACTAAAGCATGTTAGCTACCCCATGCAAAACCCTCGCAGAGACAAGGCTCTATAGCAATGGTCCCCAAACTGTGGGGCACACCCCTCAGAGGGGCACAGAGGAACGTCCAGGGGAGTGCGGTGGGCCCGGGCCAGCCCTCCGGGGGGGTGAGGAGGGAGCACCACCCAGGAATGCCTAGTTGAAAACGGACCCTGGTGGCTCCCATCAGCATTGTTGACTGGCCCGTTAAAAGTCCAGTCGGCAGCACATCAGGGCTAAGGCAGGCTCCATACTTGCCCTGGCTAGGCGCGGCCAGTATGTCCCTGAAGCTCCTAGGCACAGGGGCGGCCAGGGGGCTCCGAGCATTTCCCCCCACCCCAAGCACCGGCTCTGCAGTTCCCATTGACTGGGAATCGCAGCCAGTGGGAGCTGCGGGGGCGGTGCCTGCGGGCAGGGACAGCATGCAGAGCTCCCTGGCCCCATCCACTTAGGAGCCGCGGGGACACGCCGGCCGCTTCCGGGGAGCCATTCGAGGTAAGCGCTGCCAGGCCGGAGCCCGCACCCTGCACCTCCTCCCACACCCCAACTGCCTTCCCAGCCCTGAGCCCCCTTCCCACACCCAAACTCCCTCCCAGAGCCAGCACCCTCTCCCACACTCCGAACCCTCTGCCCCAGCCCTGAGCCCCCTCCCCAACCCCAGAGCCCGCACCTCAACCTCCTGACCCGGCCCGGTGAAAATGAGCAAGGGTGGGGGAGAGCGAGCGACAGAGTGGGGGGGAATGAAGTGAGCAGGGGTGGAGCCTCAGAAGGGGCGTGGTGGGGGCATAGCAAGGGTGTTCGGTTTTCTGCAGTCAGAAAGTTGGCAACCCTAGAGATACCAGTGGCTCCCTGTCCTGCCCCAAGCGTAGCTTCTCCTCCCCCCATCCTGCTCCACTCACCCCCCCCTCCCCCATCCCTGGAGCACGGAAGACAGACCCTCTCTCTGTAAATAAGAGAAGATCCAAAGCAGAGGAGGAGGAGGGCGGGTAGTGAAGTACAGATAGGGACCCACTCATCTCCAAGAACTTTCAGTTACAGGTCAGTAACTTCCTCTTCTTCTTCTTCTTCTTCTTCTGAGTGAAGGTCCCTATGTTATGGCTGCAAAGCATGAACATTCTAAGGATGATGCCCATCTAAATACCAAGCCCTGAGGTGTAATGGACACAGATCGGGGTGCTTGATCTTGTCCACTGAGTGAACAGCAATGGAAGAAAGGACTCGCATCCTTCCACAGCAATGGAAGAAAGGACGGCTTGGAACTTCTGGGCTCTCAAGATGTCCAGGTAGCTTGTGCTTTGTGGCTGTTCATGTGGCCTCCCCAACCGAACAAGAATGCAGCTGTAATAATGGTCCTGTCTGGTGAGGAAGGGAGGAAAGAGATGCCCATACGTACCAGATGGGGATTTATCCACAATAGCAGGGAAGACATTATTTTGGTGGGAACCTCACCATGAGGTTCCTGGAATGGCAGTTTGGAGAATATACCGACTGCAGCCACGTTTGAAGGCAATGAAGGTGGAGTCTTGCAAATGATGATATTATGCATGGTCTGGATCCTATCCTTGGGCAAGTACATTCTTGCAGTGATAGAATTCAAGGTGGCCCCGTTGAAGTCCAGAGACTGTGTGTTAGTGAGAACAGACTTTTCGGCATTTATGCTGACTCCCAGTGAGGAGAGGAGGCGCAGCATCATAGAAGTTGATGCATAGGACTCCTGGAGGGACTTGGCAACAAGGAGCCAGTTGTCGAAGTAAGGGAAGGCAATGAGACCACAAGATGTGAGCTGTTTATCAAGAATAACTTGGTAAAGACTGTGGGGACAGTAGCTATGCTGAAAGGAATACTCTGTACTGAAAATGATCAGAGCCCACCATGAATCTGAGGAAGCTTCTGTGAGTGGAATGAATATCTACATGAAAGTAGGCATCCTTCATATCAAGAAGGAAACCAGGTGTCCTTTTCTAGAGATGGGATTATATAGATCACAACGTGACCATGAGAAACCTGAGTTTGCGAATGAAGTGGTTGAGATGGCAGAGGCTGAGGATTGGTCTGCTACCACTCTTCTTTTTGGGTACCAGGAAGTATGTTGAGTAAAACCCACTCCTTTGGCATTGAGGAGGGTGTGTTCTATCGCTCCTTGCTCCAATAGGGAGTCTATCTCTTGTTTGAGAATATAGTCATGAGAGTGGCCCCTGAAGAGAGGCAGGGAGGGTTTTTTGGAGGAGGTGGGAACGCAAACTATCATATAGCCAGAATGGATGATGTTCAGCACCTGGCTTGTCGGTTATTGCACTCCAGGTGTTGAAAATGAGTGCTAGACAACCCCCATATGGTATGTGGGGGTTGGGAGATGTCAGGCTTAGTGGTTCACGACTCTCAAATGCCTGTCAAAAATAATGTCTAGCCAGGGACTGAGTCTGAGATGCAGAGCCTGTTGCACTCTGTGCAGGGAAGAGGGACTTACTTTTGAACCCTCTGCCTCTTGTGTGGTCATTCATGGGGCCTCTGGTGGGAAATTGTTGAACCACATGTCTAGGTCTAAATGACTGGCAATGAAACTTCTTCTAAGGGGGCAGGTGTGTATATCCCCAGGGAGCAGAGGTTGGCCCTAGAGTGGAAGTGTCTTTTGTTCAGTGCTATCTTTTGGTCAGTGCCAGTTGATCTCGGGTTTTGGGAGGTGCCAAGGATGATGGTACCAACTGATCGTGGTCTGGTACCGATGTAGCCCTATGATTATGGGCTTTCTTGTCCTGTCTCTGGGACTTAGGATATCCTAAGTACTCCCGGGCCAAAGCGATGGGTTTGCTCAGAGTTGAATCCGACCTCCCTGAAGTGGATTTAGAGAAAGACTTAATCTCATGCTTATGAGTAGGGCCCAACCAAATTCATGGCCCTGAAAAACGCATCATGCATCATGAAATCTGGTCTCCCCTCTCCCCGTTTCTCCCCCACCCCCACCGGTGAAATCTGATCTTTTGTGTTCTTTTACCCTATACTATACAGATTTCACAGGGGAGACCAGCATTTCTCAAATGGGGGGGGGGGACGGAAGAGGGGTCACAAGGTTATTTTACGGGGGTTGCAGTATTGCCACCCTTACTTCTGAGCTGCCTTCAGATCTGGGCAGCTGGAGAGCGGCAGCTGTTAGCCAGGCACCAGCTCTGAAGGCAGCGCCCGCCAGCAGCAGCGAAGTAAGGGTGGCAATACCATACCATGCTACCCTTACTTCTGCGCTGCTGCCTTCAGAGCTGGACAGCCAGAGTGTGACGGCTGCTGACTGAGGGCCCAGTGCAGAAGTAAGGGTAATACCATACCCTTATACCATACTAATTTCTGCACTGCTGCTGGCAGCGGCTCTGGCTTCAGAGCTGGGCTCTCAGCCAGCAGCCACCACACTCTCGCTGTCCAGCTCTGAAGACAGTGCCGCCGCCAGCAGCAGAGCAGAAGTAAGGTTAGAAGTACCGCAACCCCCCCATCCTATAACTCCCTTTTGGGAGTTACAACACCGTGAAATTTCAGATTTAAATAGCTAAAATCATGAAATTTATATTTTTAAAAATCCTATGACTGTGAAATTGACCAAAATGGACTGTGAATTTGGTAGGGGCCTACTTATGAGAGTGCTTCCTCGATTCCTGACAAGATCCCACTGGGGCGTCTGTGAGGCTAGACGCTCCTGCACCAGAGTTGGACTTCGCACCAGGAGACACGCTGCTTCCTGAATCAGGCCAATGTTCGGGGATGGTTCCCTGGCCTGAGTCCGCCTGAGGTCTTATGGCCTCCTCATGAGCTGTTTCTGGAGATGAAGTTCCTGGCCTTCTTGGGTAAGGCTGAGGAATGATCAGCAGATACTGCAACTCACTGCGATGCAGGCTTCCCCAAGGCATACAGGCAGCGCTGGTAGTCGTCGCTAATCAAAAAGGATTGCGGGCAGCAAGTGCAGTGTATGAAGCTTGGAGACCTGGGCACAGTCCAGTACTGAAACAGGGAAGGGTTCCTCTGAAGAGACTAAATCTGAACACTAAGAAATCTACAAAACACTAAACTGCACAAGCTGTTAAAACTATTTACAACGCTAAATCTAAATCTTATCTCGTAGGACGAAACCAAAACTACGGACACTGGAGGTTCCAACCCAGACCAGGCAGAGGTGAGAAGGAACTAGAGAGATGGTCAGTCTGCCCTGTCCTTTATTCCCTCCATGAGAGACCAGAGCTGAGCCAGGGTGCATGCACAGACCAATGGATGCTACTTTCAAATTCTCTGGCTCCAGGTGCATGGGTAAACCCACTGTGGAATACAATAGGGACCATCACTAGAAGTAGTACACAATTATCATCCCCATTTAACAGACAGGGAAATGAAGATAGAAAGGTTTAAGTGAGATTTCCAAGCCTGTATCAGGAAGGAAATTAGAACTCAAAGGTTTCTGCTTCCCATGCTGTGATAACACCATTCCCTCACTTTTTACATAGGGAAAGTAACTATTCAGATCACTTTTATATAATTGCTCTTATCCAGTTGGAAGACACTACTTGCAACTGAATCCATACCTGTAGTTATCATAAATCCACATCAGGATGTCATACATGCGCTCCCGACATACCGGAGAAGGGTGAGAGATGAACCCTGTTACTCCAGGAAGAAGTTCTCTTAGTTCTAGGGGTTTCAGCTTAGGCAACATTTTGTATATGATATCCAAACACACCCTCTGTCTTTCATCATCTCTAAAGGAGATAAAAAGCAACTGCATTTGTTTCATTATTCTATTTACAGTTACACATACAGCTGAACATTAAAGTAATATTTAGCAATTTTATATTGCATAAAAATGTTTTTAGTTCCTATTTCTGTGTTTAACTGGAAAAAAAAATCAGTCTAACCAAACTGAATACATATTAAGGGTGAAATCCTGGCCCCACTGAAGTTAATGGGAGTTTTGCCATTGATCTTAGTAGGACCAGGATTTCACCATATTGCTAAGGAAAAAAGCTACAGTAAGCATAGTTTTCAACTTAAATAGGAGAAGTAGAAAAAACCTGCCAGATTTTCTAATCTACATTTGCTCAAAGAAGAGAACCAGGCTCAAGAAAAAAACTGGAACTGTAAATGCACGTGGAATGTAAAACTTGCATCATTATTAGAAAAAGACAATGATGCAAAATTCAGACTATGAGCCCAGGTTGCTATGATGATCATGCACTGGTCATGTGCCCACTTACCTGTGACTCATGACTTGGATGAAATCTTTACTCTTTAATTGTAAGTAGAGATCAATTATCTCCTCTGCACGGTACATCACCACCTCCAGACAGTATGTTTTCAGAACACCATGAAGTTTTGGTATCAAGAAGAATACTGCATTCATAAACCTTTACATGACAAGGAGTCCATAGAGCAAAAAATAAGAAGTTATATTCTATTACAGTGGTGCCCAAACTTTTCCTGTTGTGTCCCCCGTTACAAGTAATGGAATCTGTCCACATGCCTCTCCATTACTGCACACTTGGCTCAGCAGAGGAGCTTGGGCTGAAGGTGGAGCTGGGGGCTGAACTGGGTATGGTGGAGGAAAGAGAATGAGGGAAGAGCTGCAGCCGGAGTGGAACTGTAGCTGGGCGGTGGTCCTTCCCTGCCCCCTATCGAGTCTGGCCCAAGCCCTGACCTGAATGTTCCTCCGCCCCCTCTAGGGGAGGCGCACCCCACAGTTTGGGGACCACTGTTCTATTAGATAATGAGTTTTCTGTATACAGGGTATCATATGATCTTACTATACCTGTCAGCAAGAGGAGGAAAGTTCTTTGCCACTTTATTTAAGCACACAATAAACTTGTCCTCTTTGGTGCTTTGATGCTGTTTTATCTGTTTTATGACACAGTCATAAACTGGACCCTCAAATATCTGAAAGATCAGAAACATTTTATCATTAAACAAATGCCAACACCAGAAACTCAGGAACACTCAAATTACGTAACAGTACTATTACATGGGGGATATTTTTAGTTACAGTGAAATTTCACTGGCTTAATCTTGACATTTATGACAATTCACAGCAGTAGTACAACATGCCTGGATGAAATACAGCTTGTCTGTTTTAACAGAGCTGCTGTCTAACCATTTATAAGTTTCCATTAATTGTGCAGAGACCAACAGCTTAAATATAGAAAGAAAAAAGTCACATGATATTCCTATTTCAAACACTAAGTAACTCCTGATTGTGTGTGGCAGGTTTCCAGTAAAATGCTGTACAATACTACTATACACAGCCATTTTCTATTAAATTAACATTATCTGCAAAGAAATACAAGGTACACGCAGAATATTAACCACCACCACACCTGCTTACTCATTCAGAATTACAATTTTTTTTTTAGGAAAGGAGGAATGGATAAGACTGAAAATGAGAAGAGGGCAAGGGTTCAACAATATTCATCATGCACCCTAGAGAATGAGAAAGGATGAACAAAATGGAATGTACTGGACAGAGAAGACAGCTACAAACCTACTTTACAGGAGTGCCACAATTACAGTCCAAGAGCAACAGCTGAGGAAGCATTTTCATTCTAAGTCCCTATTTTCAGGTTCTTAACAAACTTCTAGCAAATAGAGCCCTGAGAATCCCTAACTTTAACATTTATTCACCTTCCCTCATATTTGAAAAATTTCTATTGTGTCAGTCCCACTGGCAGAAAAGAGGTGAACACAGCTCCCCCAGATCCATTCACTGCCACGGTCAAGACAAAAGGTTCATAAGAATTGAGGCAAAGTGTGCCCAGCTTGTGCTGATCTAGTCTTGAATTCTGATCCTCATGTGGTAGCATCCTCTGCTACTGCCTAACTTCTGGGGAGGCCTCATTAAATTTAATATTCCCTCATTCTGAAGCTGGAACTGGGTATTCAGTTTAGACTTATAGATGAAACAGTCTTTAATACATTGTGTCTTTTATCATTATTCTTACACTCACATTTTCCTTCTCAGCCATGTATCGAAGAATAAGTCCCAGCACTTCTGCTGCAGCTGCATAAACTTCCTTATACCTTATTAAGGACATGTTATTGGCCAAATCCTGAAAGTACCTAGCATACAAAGGAAATCATCTGTGATCCATTCACCCTAGTATTTGATTTTCCATTAAAATCAGACATCTCAGAAACTCTAAAAATATTCTTTGCCCCTCTCCATTTCATGCATTCACATTCATAGTCTTAATTGCAGTCTTTGTGGCGCTATTACACTAACACCCCATAGCCATGAAGGTTTCAGAGGGTCACAACACTTCCCCTTTGAATTTTTGGATCCAATGGGATCTGGAGTGCCACAAATACCTATTTCGCTACTCTTGACTCCACTGTGTGCCAAAGAGCTCAACAACTGTAAAAGCAGTGGTCACAATAGGGCCCAGTACAGATATATCTACACCCCCGCCAGTTCACTTCCTAAAGTAAGGTACAGCTTCAGAGTTAGCTGTAGCAACCTGCTCGACATAGGAGTGTAGGGGCGGTGGTGGGGCCAGAAAGAGACAAGAAGGTCCAAGAGGTGAGCATTCCAAATCCCACCCCCATGGCGCCAACATCCTTCTTGGTCAGCTTATTGTAAGGTTTATAATAAAAAATTAACTCCCCGAATAGACATGCTTCTCACCTCACGCTGTCTATTTCACACTTTGGGTCATGGGGAGACAAGTTGTTAGCAAGAACAATACCAAGCAACTGAATTCCCACTGAGTTATCCTTTGTATTAGGATCTCCACCAGAAAATTGTTCGAATATTAACCTGCAGCACAAGGATGTAAATAAATAAATAAATAAATAAAGGTGCATGTGACAGAGTACTTGCTAAAGACAGTACAAATCTGGTGAAAGTGACTGTGGCTACATGAACAATACTTTATTGGGAACGCATACAGTATAAAATGTTTGCAAATTCCCAGAAATTATATCCCCCACAAAAAACTTTCATTCTTTGATTTCTGTGTTCTGTCCTCAACAACTAAACACCAGCTGCTAACTCAATGGTGCAAAAACAGACAAAAAATCCTCTCAGTAGTTTCTCCTGCCTTCTGCTCTCTCATTGCATACAGCCCATTGTAATTCTTATTTATCCAGGATTCTTTGCAGCATGAGTTGTGTATGTTGCTGCCTCTGCAATTTTGGTGTCGACAACTGACAGAAATGCAGGTGAATTTACCACAAAGAGAGAGAGAGAGAGAGAGAGAGTGTGCAGCTGGCTAGAGCAATAAGAGGATTTGTTTTTAAAAAATGGTTAGTTGGTCAAAAAGCCACTAAAATCCATGTACAATCCTGGATTGAGCTACTGTTAGCCAGAAGCATTACCACTTGAAGCCTCACAGATGCCTCACTAGTGCCTGTGAAAGGACCAGATCCTCACACCACCTGCAAGTTGTTTGTGTTACAGTTTGAAAACCACTGGGCTAACCCTTTCACCTCTGCAGAGCTCAGGTCACATTTTCCCTACATTCTTTTTATACCAAGAAATACTACCTGTACGGTATGGAGAGACAATCCTTCCAGCACTCCACAACTGTCTTTATAATTTCCAAGTTGTGTCTGAACACTGCTCTCTTCTGATGAAATACATTCTTCATCAAGAATTCAAGTAATCTGTTAGCCAGTATCTCATCTTTAATATTCCCCTAACATGAAAGAACAAAAAGCAACATGGTAATTCTGTATAAAACAATATTTTTGTTCTTAATCTGAATGCATAGAACATTTTTATTCTCCACTGGTTTAATGTTTAAAATATGATTGTGAATTCTCAAGTTAGCTAACACAATGTTGACTATGAGTTTGCAATCAGTGTACACAAGGATAAGTCATGTTCAGCAATATAAGTTTGTAGGGAAGTCAAGCTCAGAATTCACTAGAACGTTGGTAGCTTTATGTAGGAGAGCCCTGCCATCTTGTTATGAAAACAGGTGAAAGCCTTTGAACTATAGCAGTTGGGCCAACTAATCCACCATATGTGCAGTATCCCTCATGACAACCAATGAAACTGTTCCATGCAAATTAGCTGTAGAGTAATGGTGGTGATGTATGATATCACAATGGTCTAGGACTCTTGGAATGGAAAAGATAGCATCCAATTTTTAAATTCTCTGTGTAACAGACCCCCGAATCCCAGTGATGATTGAATGTGGTGATATTCTGAATAAAAAGTGCTCTAAGCCATGCTAATGACTGCTTCCATTGCTTCACACGGACTCAAAAGACATTCTAGGCTTCAGAGTGACACAGAGTAACTATCCTGGCATCTTATTACAAAAGGCACTAGTAAGTTATACCAGTACTGATAATTCTTTTGGGAAAAGGAAGTATGAAGGTGGCACTAACTTCTATCATCGGTCTAAATATTACAAGACAACATGACAGGGTGTAGATTTTTGAGTCCATTAATACATTTCTCAGGTATGTTGTGGACTTGTGCGCATTCCACAACTTGAGGTGTCCATTAGTGGACCAATAAGAAAGAACCTGGAGGATCCCATGCTCAAAAAGTTACTTACAGTGTTGCCAGAGAGACTGATTTCATTAATGAACTAAAACTTGCTTCTTATTAAACTGATCTAGTTATTTACAGTGGTTAATGATTAAAGCAGCACTGAGGAAAGATCGATAAAATAATCAAGTACATCATCCCATTAAAACAGGGAAAGAACAAGTTAAAAATTACTCAGACAAGCTAGATGTCTTCAAGCCACCAGGGCCTGATTAAATACATCCTAGAATACTCAAGGAGCGGACTGAGGAGATATCTGAGCCACTAGCAATTATCTTTGAAAAGTCATGGAAGATGGGAGAGATTCCAGAGGACTGGAAAAGGGCAAATATAGTGCCAATCTATAAAAAGGGGAATAAGGACAACCTGGGGAATTACAGACCAATCATCTTAACTTCAGTATCCGGAAAGATAATGGAGCAAATAATTATGCAATTAATTTGCAAACACCTAGAAGATAATAAGGTGATAAGCAACTGTCAGCATGGATTTGACAAGAACAAATCATGTCAAACCAACCTAATAGCTTTTTTTGAAAGGGTAACAAGCCTTGTGGATGGGGGGAAGCAGTAGATGTGGTA